ATGGGTTTTAACCGTCCTATTTTTATTTGCGGAAAATAAATGCCGTCACTCCGTTAATAACTAACGGAAACTGTAATAACGTGGCGATTGTGTCGATATATCGACAGTAAATATTGTAAAAACGATGGCTATTAAGCAATCACCCGCGGAAAGTCAGATAAATTATTTTGCGGAATGTCAGATAAACTGGTTTAAACGTGCTAAATAATGTTTTATAGATGTAAATACAGACATAAAAAGAATAATATGAATGATAAACTGATATATGTTTCTGTATATAAAAATGGCCTTTTAAATAATCTATTGTTACTTCTTTAGTTTGTTTATTTTATTTAATAAATCAACTTTTATTTAATTTTATCTAATTTTATTATATGCAAATGTTTTGATAAACAATGATATGAACTGTTATATGATATTATTTAATTATTTTTAAATACTATTTAAATTGTTTTTTAATTAAATTATTTTGTATATTTTTTTAAATTTTAATTAACACAAAAATATTTTGATATTATTCGAAATATTTAAGTTTTAGTGGCTCACACATAAAGACATATATTGATAATTATAACTAGTTTAAAAACTTCATTTATTCATCAACGTCTGAAACATGAGCAAATCGTGTTTGTTAGAGATGACGGATGCAAATTAGAGAACGTGGTTGAGGTCGAGGATAATATTTCTAAGGAAGCAAGCTTAATCACGGGTAGCTCTTTAATAATTGCCTCACCCGCGTAAACGGAATATCCGCCGCGCAAGGCGGTCGATATTCTTGCATGACTTAATCTTTTCAGTTTCTTTTTCTCTACTTATTACAACACAGTCTGAATTTTTTGCTGTAAATTTTTTTTATAAAAATTCATAAAATTGGATAAATTCGTAAAATTCATAATTTTGGAGAATAATCAAATATACGAAACAATCTCGATTATTAATGATTAAAATAACGAAAAATTTTGCTTGTTAATATTTAAACTATTTTATATGTTGTGAATTATCTGATGTTTTTTTTGTTTATTATAATGTTTATTCGTTATTTTTAGATAATTTATATGAACGTCAAGAAATAGGTCTAAAAAATAGATAGAAAATAAAAATCAATCTCTTCTTTTGTTGTACCATAATGCCACGTTCGTCGACTTTTAATATTTATTATGCATATGTAAAATTAATAATATTTATATGTGTGTTATAATAAATTATTTAAATCATAATCATTTTAAGATTCCGTACTTTAATACATTAAAAGATTATGTATTCACATATTACGAATAAAACAGAAGAGGCTACGTCTATAACTAAATACACTGGAAACAAAAGATTAATTTATTAGCAGCACCACGTATATATGTTATATTCTCTGTTACATGTGTACAACTATTGTTTGTATGGCAAATCCATCTTGCATAATCCACCTTCGTTTAGTCACGTCCATTAATGTGATGAAATTGTAGACAGTTTCTAGTCAGCATTCCTGGGAAAACTCGAAACCCGGTACTGCATACTCGTTTAACTCTATAAACGTGTCGCTTCGATGTTGAATGCCAACTACGATTGCCAGCGACATTAAGAGAATATCGCACGTTGGCTATGGGCAATGTAATTTATAATTTTCAAATGATTTATAAGAAAGTTATTTGCCGTTTGTGCCTTTAACTTTATAAAACTTTATAAAATATCAAATATCTTGTTGTTTATCTTTTAATTTAGATTTTATAAAATTTTATATTGTAAAAATAATTGAAAAATTGAAAAAAGAAAGAGAGAAATATAATTAAAATTGTTTTTATTTTTATTATTACGAAATTACTTATCTATGTGCAATCTTCTACTATCTTATTACAATATACTTATTATATTATTTTTTATAATTGAAAGAATTGAAACAATTAAAATGTTAGATTGTGATCAATTATTGATCATACAGAGAAATATGTTTATGTTAAAAATATTTTCAGTTATTTGTATTCCTTATTATGTGAAAGATAGATTATTATTTTTTCACGATTTAATCGAAGTAAAAGAAAATGTAACTTTGTACGATGGTATTTTTATAACTGCATAACGTCATGGAAGTTCATCTACGTTACAGCACCTATTACAATCGTCGATTAAAACTTGAGCAGGAACGCAGTAAAAGTTACGACGCCTACTTCTCTGCGAGCTTTTATAACATCGTCTAGTTGGAAGTTCGACGAACTTCAATTCTGCTATCGTAAAACGAAATGGATCACGTGTTACTGATTTCGCTAACACTTATTCAGTGCTTTTGCAAATAAAATTTCGCATAAATAAATACATTTTGGCATTATTGCTAAAACTAATCAATTTTTAATCAACTGACAAATTTTGAAATATTTTAATGAAGTAATATAAAAAATACAAACATAAAGAAAGTATGGAGAATACATTTATGTTTTACGAAAATTCTTGAATATTTTGCTTTCACTCATTTTTACGGAATTAAAAGAAAAATGTGTTTTTTTTTTATGTATCAATCAGGCAAACTTTTGCTTTTACCATATCTTTTTTGCCAATAACTTTAATTTTTTACTTAACAGTACAATACAATTTTTATCATTAATATAGCAATTCTTTTTTTCTTGCGCAGAGGGAAGATGAACGAGATGGAGCAGATTCCTGAGGGCTGAGATCGTGTAGATCCTCGAGATGACCGGTTGGAGAATGCAGCCGACCGCCTTAGTGCTCGGCGTCATCGCCATTATCTCCGTCATGATTACTGTCACTGTGTCAGGTAGGCGATTCAATATGCAATGTATTTTTACTTCACGTTTTTAATTTTAGCACGAAATTACAAGACATGTATATCCGAAGGTAATTTATTAATATAATACAATAAAAGTACCAATTCAATTTAATTCGCCTACTTCATACAGTCAATGTATAAATAATGCGATTTTACATGTTTTACATTATTGAGAAAAATTATAAATAAAGATTTAGTATGAACAAAATAAATTTACTGAATTATATATAAGTAAACACAAATAAAACACAAAGGTTTTATTAATTTTTTAATAACACTATTACAACTTCATATATTGAAATGTAAAAATTGAACTACACGTTAATAAAATAATTTCATAAAAGTTTGTTATATGCATAAAGCTTTTAGGAGAGAAAAATAATTGAAGAAATTTCAATATCTGTATAATGCTGACGATGCCAAAAGTTACGGATACTTTCTGCATCATATCTCAAAGTCGAAATCAATTTCCGCGCTATAAATTCAAACTGCTCACTCTCTCCTAGCGACGAATTTATGGTACACTTTTTCAGTTGAATATTCCTACGATGTAATATTATTGCGAGCAAACGAACAGTTCGTTTGCTTCAGTTTATCGGAATGCGAGGATTTTTAATTAACCTGAATGTCTAACTGCGCCGTAAGCGTCGAGTCGTAACAACGGGAAACGGCCGTGCCTGGTGGGATAAAGAGGGCAAAACTCTTTTGTAGCTACCGAGCTAGTTGTTCTATGTAGTCTCTATACGAAGATAACCCCACCGGAATTTACTTTCTTGCGCTTCCTAGCAATCACCATTTCGTAGGCGAACTCTCTTTCACGCAGTTCCGCGCATCCTACGAAACCCGAAAGTATCGAATAACGAGATTTCGCTTAATGTTGCCAACTTTTTTATAAATAGAATATTGTTATTTTTATGATTCATAATTCTAATCGTATTTTAAAAGTATTAAAAGTTTATTTTAAAGCACTTTTTTTTTTTGCGAAAGAGATTAAAAAATAAATATTAACCAGTTTGAGTAGAATATACATATTTGAATTGATAACATTTTGATAGCTTTTGTCAAAAAGAAACAGATTGAAATACATATATTCTTTTTCACTATCGCCGAGAGGAGATAAAAGAAAACATTTAATTTTATAAATCGTTACACACACACCACAC